ATGAGACTCTAAGGAAGCCATTTGCATTGAGCGGAAGAGCAACGAGTGTCAGAATCGCCGATTCTTCGCCTATCTGTTCAGTTTTACGAATCTAACCGCAGAAAGTAATACTTAGAAAGCTTCGTGGCATCAGAATTTTTTTCGACAATCTTTGACATTCTGAGGTTAGCTGAATACTGTAACATGGTGATTATCATTTCAGCCGATGGAAATCTGTTCTGAGCATCCAGCTGATACAGGTGGATCCCTCTCCACACAATTGGGTCATTTGGGCTCAGACAACTGTGAGGAGAAACGAACTCCAGCACTGCCGGCCTCATTCTTCATAATCTGTTCTATGGTTGGTTGTATTACGGTCAAGCCTTGGAACCTATTCTCCCAAGGGGAAATTCAGTGGGCATACCAGAGATGTAGTCTTCCAAACAAAAAGCGGACGTGTTGGAGCTTGGTAAAGTGGGAATTACCAAACATTCCCAGTCTCCTGTGAAACACATGGGATGAGGGGGGAAGCAGAATGACACACCAGTTTGATTCGGCTATCGTTCTCTAACTAGCTTTACGCTCTCGGAGACTGTTTGGCCTGTGATCGGTGAAGCGAAGAACTCACACTTTCTCACAAGCTTCTAGTACTCCCAATAGAGCCTCACTTTCTATTGTATAGAATGGCTGACAGCCTGGTTAAAAATCTAAAAACGTCATGAACGAGAGATTCAACTGGGTTCTAGATGAGTCTTTCGCAAAACCAAAAATTTGTTTGCAAATGAGCGTATTACCTAGAATAGTGTTTGCTAATTGCTGTAGGTGTCTAAAAGTGCAGGTCACAGCAGGAAGACCGTACTACTAGGGAATTAATTGGATATCGATTTGATGGCTAAATCAGGTGTTTTTGTATGGTGACGAGCTTGGTGACCCACCTGGATTCATGCTGTCACGTTTGATCTTTACCGTCCTTCAATACGAATCACCTGATAGAGTAATTTTCAGTTACCTAGTGGTTTTGCCATCTAAAGGCAACTCGCAAAATTCATTGTCATGTGTATTGACGATCATCTAGCTACGGTCGATCGCAGCTGGGTGTCCTGCGAACTTAAGCAATAATAGTACAACCCAGGTGTAAAGATCAGAACACGTGCAACAATGGTTCTAACTGATTCACCCTCAACAATCACTCAGTCTTAGTCGCCTTGAGCTCAGTATAGCTCAGCGATTAAGGTGCGTGACTAGTGACCAGAGGGTATGTCTAGACTTGTGTAAGCTGGGTGTATGTAAGTCCTCGTGCTTCCCTAGGGTTGCAATGCAACTATGCATCGAACGATTACGGCAGTTGTGCATTACGGTTAATGAGAACCCTATAATCCATACAGTTGTAGGAGCCCGTGCTCAAAGAACAAGACAGTTACATGACCTTCTGTACCGGAATATTGTTAACCGGAACAAAACCCCACTCCTGACGTGGTCTCTGGACAGTGATCGTTCTACAGATTTATCGAATTTGTATATTCAAGTAGGCATGTTTCGACCTTGGGTCTATGTGAGGAACGTTTAAATTACAGTGAACTCACAATCGCCCCACTGTTCTTGGTCTTTAGTTTTCACAAGCTGTTACCATTTGAAGAACCCGTACAATAGCACGAAAAGCTTCCATCTAAACGTTTCAATAACTTTTGAGACAGAAACTGACAGTGGCTTTGGCCAGGTGTCTAGATGACATGTTTAAGCGTTCAGTGTGTCGCAAGCCTACATGGGCTAGGCAAGACTTGCAGTTGTCTGGTTTCACTTTTCCAGAGAAGCCGGATGCATACTTTGTCCGACCATATTTGCACTCGTGCTTCTCTTCAAAAAGAAAAGTTCTTAAAAAGGAAGTTGACTTCCAACAGCTTCCCAGAGAAATTTATCGACGTCAACAGCACCCCACGGTCCAAACAGGAGCCTGGCTACTCAATGGGAGCTTAAAAAATTTTCATCAGACTGCAGCCGATCAACTAATTTTGTTCTCAACAACGAGACAAGTCAATCAACGATGTCCGCCGCGTATTGTATCCAATCGCTCTGCCTCATGCGTTGTGTATCAATCCACATGCGGCTGCAATGGAATACACTGGCGGAACAGATAGGAGATTATTCAGAAGCATCTCTGAAGGTTTAACTCGTTGGTTGAATCGGGTAATGTTTTATCTGCTGACTCGCTCCAGTGCCCAATGCCGGAAAAGACTCACAGAAGGGAACGCAACAACTATATTCCGAACAAGTGAGTGCGAGTGCGAATGTACAACGGTCTCAAGCTATTTATTGAAAGAACACAGTCTGAACCTGTTCCAATGCTGATGCACGCGTCTGTACGAGACTGCGACGTGCTGCATATTGAGGGGGTGTTGTCTGTCTGGTCAACATCTAGCGGAGCTGAGAGTCTCGGTAGATTTCGGGCATTCGGTGGTTGCTTGTAGGGCGCTGATCTTCTTGATGGGTAACCAATCGATCGACCGATGGTCTGCAAGCTGAGACCCAAAATCCTGCCTCATCGATCACCGCACACACCACAATTGGTCCCAGTACAGCATTCAGAATTGGACTGCACAATGTGAATTTGGAATTGTTAGCTTTCAATGAGACCACAGAATAATACCATGCAAAATCAATGTTAGCGAAGCACACCCCTCTGAAAACAAATCTGGTTTTGCTGGAGGCTCACCTAGAACCCAGCTGAATCTCTCATTTGTGATGTTTTCAAGCACATCCAGTTGCTTTGGGTTCAAGAAGAAAGGCTAATGGAGACTTGGGGACTGGGCCTACCTGATGAGCTCTGGGAAGGGCGAAATCGGTCGTGGGCTGTCAACGACTCTTCAGCAACATTATGAGTAGTATATTACATCTATACATGAATCACAATGTCTCGAATATCCTACCAACTGAAACACGAGGCGGCCTGGTGCAGCAAATCCAGTTGCTTAGAAAAATCCCAAACGAGAGAACCAGTTGGGTTTCATGTGAGTCTCTCGCAAAACCAAATTTGTTTACAGATGAGTGTGTTTCCCTAATTTTGTTCAATTTGGGTTCAAGTAGAACAAACAATTGATGGAATCTAAGAAACTGAGCCTACCTAATGAGTCTAGAGAAGGGCAAAAACAGGTCGTCGGCTGTCGAAGAGTTTTCAGCAGGCTTATGAGTAATGTGTTACGTCTGTAAGATCAGTGTCCTTTTGATTTCTCTCCGTTGCTCACCTGAGTCTATTTCACCCAAAAGTTACAAGTTACCCAGCAATCAGCTAACGTGATAACGCGGTGAAGAATTTGGGTGTCCGGATAACTGATGATGGTGTAGAAAGCGTGACACTGTGTGTAGACATTAGCTCAGCCCGTGAGGGCTTGCACAGATGATTGCGTAACCCCGCATACAAACGTGGCAATATGACGAAATATGCTGGGAATGAGGATAAATGACAGGGAAACTTGTCTATACCGGCCACTCCCTGGTGACAACAGCTCTCTGTCAGTTTCATCTACGGTCTTTTATATAGTTCGGAAAGAAATTCAATCTGCTTCACATCAGCTTCAAACTACATTCCTCAGACACGAAGTGTCCGGATACACTGTCTCTACTCTAATCTTCAGCGGTGGACGTTACTTCTAGCTAGGCACCAAGTCATAACAACTCCTGTATCGATCGTCTCCTTTGGACGGTCGTTCCCAATTGGATGGTTCAGTCATCATCTGGGCAGCAGCACCAAACTATGCTGATTCTGAGTAGATCCTCACGTGCTTCTTATCTAATCCAAAAAGGGCACCCATTTTTCCAGACCAAGAAATCATCTGTGGGCTGACTTGGAAGGAGGTGGACATTGGGCCGATATTCATAACGCGTGTTTGTTCCGAGAGATTGTTATAAGGCTTATTCAAGAAAAAAACTGTCACTTACAACGGGCTTTGGCTGTAAGATTTCTGTCTGCAACGGGTGGAGGGTCTTTCGATATGATATACCATTGGAGTCACTGTAATAAGCTTTTTGCCAACAGTTCCGATAGACTTGAGTCCTCTTGCTGGTTGTATTTTTCTTCGATGACGCCTCAAATGTACGGGAATACCACACAGAAAGAGCTCGACAACGTTCACTGACAGAACTTGGTTTCAAACTTATCGATCTGGAGCCCTGCTGTGATATGGCCTCAAATGGAAAATTACGCTTGGCTTACGACCACGCTGAGCAAGGGTAAGTGGTCTGAATAGTAACAATCGATCGAAGCACACGATGGAGTAGTTTCGTGGTGCCTGAAACACCGTAATACAAAAACAAACAGCCCAACCAAATAACATCGGGTCCTTGTTAAAGCCATCCGTAAAATTACGCAGCCAGAGGATTACTCAAAAATCCTCCCATGAACGTTCAATCTATATACGTGTGCTTGTCATTGGCTGACGGCCTAGGTAGCTATTCTGATCAATTCCATTCGTTACGGAGACTCTCTGCGTTCGAAACGAAATTTGAGAAGACTAACAAACAAAGATTGATTTCAGAAGTCTGTTTTTTTAATCACTAGCAGAAACAATGCGATAGAAATTGACTTGTCTCAAAATCGGTTTTGTTGTTATTACCGTCACCATGCTACCAAGAGAATAAGACGGATTGGCTGAAATTCAATATGAACAGTTGTCAAAAATCCCATTGGATAACTATTCCTGTTCATGTTTGTGTGTTCCGTTTCGTTACCTTTATCGGACCGTTAACCACCTAGCCTAGAATAAAAGATAGTCGTTGTTGTGATGATGTGATGGAAGCGGATAGTACGTATCCAACGCTTATCGATCGTGGCGCGGTCACGCAAGGAATTCTCTCAGCCGTGGCACAATGGCTGATTAGCATATTGTTGCGTGTTGTGTTCGATGAGGCGGAGAAATGCTAGTCAATCTGTCCTCCAATCGATTTCCCTCTCGAAAACATATTTTAGGTTTTTTTTGACAATCGTGGACTGTAATGACACGCGACCGCTTGTATCTAGGCGACACAGAAGTCTGTCGTTTGTAATGGAGCCTGCATCAGGCCTGGTAAAATCTAGGCGAAGTTGAATAGTACTCTCTGATGCTGTGTGATACCAGTCTTGCGCACATTAGTACAGGTATTCTGTCAACTTAGGTGCAGTTCTTGTTTGAAAAAATCCGTAATAAAGGTTGATTAAGCGATATTAACTTAAAAACTAAATGGCTTGGAATCTCATTTGGGTAACTGGTAACTTTATCCTCATAATTTGTGTTAAACACCTTCGAAACTTAGCGAAATGCACTCATGTTCAAACAAATTTGGTTTTTCGAGGGACTCACCTGGAACGCAACCGAATCTCTCTTTTATGATGTGCTGCACCAGGCTGCTTCGTGTTTCAGTTTGCACGATATTCGAGATGTCGTGATACATGAATAGATGTAATACACTAGTCATAAGGTTGCTGAAAATTCCTCGACAGCCCATCAGGCAGGCTCATCAGGTAGGCGCAGTCCCTGAGTTTCCGTCAACCTTATGATCTACTTGAACCCAAATTGCACTGTTTTCGAGAAATACACTCATTTACAAATCAATGTGGTTTTCACGGGAGGACATCATAAACGAGAGATTCAATTGAGTCTCCCGTGAAAATCAAACTGGTTTGTAAATGAGTGCATTTATCGAAAAGAATTGGATGTGTTTCGAGAACGTTTCGATAGACATAGGATGAATGGACCTGACATATTATCCGAGGACTCGAGTGTCATAATACCGATGATAGCTTATGACTTGAGAACAAATCTGATTGGTCAACGTCACGAGATGGTGCACATAGGATTTAACTGGACCAGGGGGCATTTTTTGAGAGGGAGAGTCGTTTGCGGCAGCTTGGCTTCAAGCGGCTGAATAGGACACCAGCAGGCAAATGACTTACAAGAACGCAGCAAGCAAAACTTGAATGGCTGGTTGACTACCAAAGCAGATTACTGGGAACCAACTTGCCATTGATGCTGTCAAAATGCCAAGCTTTGATCCAGTCCAGTGCAGGCAAGTCCCTACGCATAATGAGGTATGGCCGAATGCATGTTTCTCTGTTTGTGAGGAAATCGTCCAGTGACTGACTACTTCGTTCAGTTGTAACACCCTTGCGGTGCCTTGCTGCCACGCCATCGGAAGGAAGCGTGAAGGCTGGGATACTGCAAGGTTGCCCGAGCCTAGACAAAGGTAGTCGAGATGCAGGGATCGGGTTCGAACCACGGACATTCCGGTTATTAAATTCGCTCTCTAAACAATTGGGACATCTCGCCCAGACTACTTACATGTCCGCGAGGTCATGATCGATCTTGCTTTTGTTAGGTATATCAGATTCCTAAAATAATCTCAGATTGTTCAAAACCTACTGATATCCTCAGACTCTACCGAAATCTCAGCAAGCAAGCTGTCAGGCATCCAGGCCAGCAATTTTAGTCTCCGATTGACCGCTCAATCAGTTCATTATTTCAGCAACGGCCCAAGGTTGATGAGTGTTCAGGCGTCTCGTAGACGCAAGGACGCTGATGATGAGTGCTCACCAAACGCCGATCAGATAGCTGGATAAAAGGTCGAAAGTACCGCGATGCCCCTCATGACTTCGGCATCCGCTTGTTTGGAATACAGCTGTTCTGCTCCTTGTTGGTGGGCCTTTTTCCGACACTGAGTTACTGGAGCGGGGACAACAGTTAATTACAGCAGTTTTCTACTGATGGTTGACGGGTAGTATATAGAGTCATTTCCACTCATTCAAACTCGGGTTTTTGTCAGTTAAAGTGCATCCGCACGTATTTATGATTGTTTCATGTTTATGTGCTCAACACAGCTTATTTTGACTTTTACTGCTCTTCAAGAAATTGGTACAGTACAGTTTCCGATTGTATACTTGACTGTGTACAATTCACTCCGATTTTCTCTCACAGTGGAACAAGAAAAGGTCCAAAAGAAGACGTTCACAAATTGGTTGAATACGTATTTGTCCACAGTGAGTGTGTGTTGCTGTTTGACTGAGCGCTTTGTTTTCCACTCGATTCTCTTCCGTAACCGTCAAAATCCAAACCCGGACACAAACAAGTAAATGATATACTCACGGTGCCAATTATTACTGTAAAATGAACTTTGTAGACAGCTGTTTTGACGAAAGTAAGTAATAGTTGGAACCTTCTGGAATAGATGGAATTGGTTGGTTGCATGTGAGATGAATCACTGCCAGGTCACTGATACCTAGACAGGAGGTTCGACTCGGTTTCCTAACTGAAGCCTGACCACAAGCCAGCGGCATTCAGTGTGCGCTTCAGTGAGTATCCTAAATGTTGAGGAAAAAGTAGTCCCACTTAGTCCCACAGTATGGACAGTCATTCTGATAGCAAATCGACTGGGAAGCCCCCAGTACAGGTCAAACAGTCATTGAGGTAGACACCAGGATAAAGTCAACCGTGTTCGCGACGAAAGTTGATAGATAGGTAGGCTTCTTGCCTCATCCGTTCAACTCTCAGTGCGCGTACTTCTATCCTAAGAACAGTCATGCCATATTGCGAGTACTTCTCTAAATACCCATATAGGGTGCGCGCTCAACCGTAAATGTAATTTGGTGTTCAAGTTAGTACAAAGATGATAACTTGTATTTTATTTGTGTACAAATAAGGAGAAAGCTTCGGAGAACATTATCACCCATAATCAGACGAGTAGAGCTGAGTTTCGAATATTGCATTTGAGTAATTCAGCTCCGTCTTTTTATTTGCCATTGATGACACGCCAGAAGAATGCACCATATACTTTTTTCAGGCAGATGTGCCCATGAAAATTAACGATCTCTTTGTTGACATTCGGGATGGCGTGGCTTTGATCCGTATTCTTGAAGTTCTTTCCAGACAGAAATTGGTAAGTGATTGATTTCGAAAACCAAAAAGATGCTCTGAGACGTGTTCAGAATGGTCTCCTGTGGGACGGTTAACGTCTTTCTCCCCAGGACTGATCATCTGTCAATTAAAAAACAATTTTACCACAAGGCGGAACACACTACTGATCCTTATAAACAGCTCGTCAGACAGCAAAATTGCGAACATTGAGTTGCTATCTCCAGTGTCGTGTCACCTGAAATATGTAATGGTCTTTGGGTAGCATGAACGAGAGATTCAGTTGGGATTCAGTTGAGCCTTCTGTTAAAAGCAAATTGATTTTATAATGAATGTATTTGGCGAATATTTCAACTTCCTTCATATTTCATACCATCCTATCTATTTCTCTCCCCTAAGAATATGATTTTCATACAAGATGCAATAAGCGCCGGATATTACTGGAAGTCCAACTGGCTAATCAGTTTGTTAAGCTCCATCAAAATTGGCCTTAAGACGTTAATAGTTTATGACGCAAAATGACGAATCGGGATTAGGCTATTTCGGGAACAATAATCTGGCATTCTATCGTAGGATTTAGTGAGAACTAACTAGTCCTCTCTATAGTTGAGTCAAAGTTGCGTCGATACGTACACTAGGCACAGATTCCCCCAATGAAACAGTAATCAAACATTCTGAGGTTTCGCTATTCCGTAGCAGTATTTCGTGAGGTCCTTTTGGCCGAATTGTAATTCATGTCAGTTATTCTGGTTAGGATCGAGTCATTTTTCACAATCTGACTTTCCATAGACGTGGATTGGCAACTAATGTTCTTAGGTTCGACCTTCTGGCTCATTGAGCTGAATGAGTAGAGCTTAATCTTTGCCTCTGAACATCTTACGTCTTCGCTTACGTCTACACACAGCTATGCATAAATCTTTAGGCAGCGTTTGGATTTTCCGATTTGGAAAAAACTTAAAATTTATCGGAGAGCCATGAGGCCGAAATTGGCGGGATGACCTCTGAGAGACAGTCATTCCGCCTATCACGAAGGCCAGATTCCTGAAAGCAACCACTGAATGCCCGAAATCTCCTGAGACTCTCAGCTCCGCCAGATGCTGACCAGACAGACAACGCTCCCTCAAAACGCAGCGCGTCACAGGCTTGCATTATACCCAGACAGCGCGGGTCAGCGTCGATCAAGATCAGGCAATGCCCCCGCAATATGCAGCACGTCGCAGCCCCGTACCAAAA